CTGGCAGTCATCGCAGCTTCAAAGGGTGTGTTCGAACGCCTCTGGGTTCTCCCTCTGAAGGAATCGGTTCTAATTCTGTCTGGAGAAACTTTACTGATTGGGATTTTTTCGCAGTTTTTGGTGAGTAATTCAGCTAAGAAATCCCTAAATTCTCTTCTCTGCTTTCTAAAACTGTTTTTCCAAGCCATGTGTCTTCAAAACCAGTTGCTGGTCAATCTCTTGAATTAGAAATTGGAATTAATTTTCAGTGACCTTTATGTTACTGGTATCAGTTTTGTATTTGATATCACAGCAGTGGTCTGCCAGGGTTAGGGGTGGTGTCTCTACTATGCCAGGAGACACGGGCATACTTTTGAATGTTGCTTTGCAGAACCTATTGGAAAGTGTGTCAAAATGGAACGCAAGTGTATGGAGAAGATCAACAATTACTGTCAAAAGCAGAAATTTACCCTGGTTTATGCTGACGTCAGCGTGACTGGCCTGTCTCATGATCCTGAGTAAGTTCACTATGCACCTCAGAAACCATCAGGACTCTTCCTGCAAAAGATGAAGTAGATAAAACTTGAAGTGCGTGTGTGGCGGGAGAGCCAGTTGAAACCATAAACTGAGTGGTAGGTAGGATGTTGTGATAAGAGTTTGAGGAGAAAACTGTTTGGCCCTTTTTTGGAAAGCAACAGCAATGCACCTGTAACTATAATGTAGGTAACTGTGCTATATAGGTATGTTATACATCTGCCAGGAAATCTCTCAGGAGGTGGGATAGCTTGCAGCAAGTGTTTCAGTTTATGATCCATGCTAATTTAAGTGCTTTGTTTATTTAGTTTTATAAAGCTTAGAAATTATTTGTGATTTATGTTGCTAGTTTCTAACCGTAAAGTCAGGTCCATATCAATTGATTGGGTACCAGCATGTTTTAAGTGTACTTAGTTTTTGAACATCTGTTACAAGAAAAGGGTCTTTTGCTTAACCTGGTTTACTTGTAGAGACAATTACAGGTGATGGAACGAGTTTTATTCTTTTGACACAGATAATAGTGTTTTTTCTATTTTTTCCCTTGCTGGAGATCACAGATACTCAAGATCTATCATGTTTCCTTGTGTGATTTTCTTTATTTTTGTTTTTGCTAGTTTGCATGTAGGCATGCCTTATTCTAATAATTGGTATGTTTCTTTCAATGTCTTCCATGTTGCCAGACAGCACTGTTTGTGCTGACTTATTCTTAGACCTGACCACAGTTCCAAAATAAATTATCTGGGTGTCAAGTGTCAGTCAGTTATCTTCTTCTTTTTTTTATTTAATTACATGAGCAAAAAGTAATCCTTATCATAGTAATGGCCACAGCTGTGGTCACACAGCTATATCTGCATGCTTCAAAAGTGGTGGCACGGGACTAAGGGAATTCACACACATTTCAAATTTACTGCTTTATCCCATTTTCTGCACTTTTTCATTTTGAACAGAAGTTCAACCCATGCTCCTCTACCTGTAAATGATGTGAGGTATGACAGTGGTATCTAAGAATATCCTGGATAACTTGGGCTGTTCTAAGGAGTACAACGTACAGTGTCAGGCTACAGCAATGGGTGCTGTAAACTTCCTCCAGTGCCCTTGTGGTGCTCTTTCCTAGTGCTTGGTTGGCTAACGGGATGCACTGGCCACTACTGGCCACACACATGAATACTTAAATACCTTCACAGTTATCTTTGTAGCTAATAAGAAAGCTGAATGTTATAATGTATATATGAGACAAAATATTACAATGTTTTAGAAAAGTTTCCTTCATTGCAGGTTCACAGTTGTGGTTAAGATAGATAATGTAGAATATGGTACAGGCACTGGTAAAAATAAGAAGGAGGCAAAAGCAATTGCAGCAAAAAAGACCTGGGAAATGATTGAGAAACTGGTGAGTAAACTGTAGGATTTGTTTTTGTTTTTTTTTTTCCTAGTAAAACTTGAAGATGAATCTCTAAAATTAGCCATGGGAGAGTTTCTGATTATTTAAGTTGTTTTTGTTCTGTCTTATTCAGTGCTTTACTTAAAACTGCTGAACTATTTTTCTTACTGTTCTGCTGCAGTGTTGGTACATAATATCGAGAATGTTTCCTTCTCTGCTGTTACAGGAGGGTGAGGAAATGTATTTGCCTTTATTAAGCTGCCTTGGTATATCCAGAATGGACAGTGTCCCTTTTTCATCTTGACAACTGTTCAGTAATTTGATGTCTTGCAAACATTTGTAGGGCATTGTTCAGTATGCCTGTTGGCACCCTCATAAAGCTCATAAAATTGCTTACTTTCACTTAAGCTGGTTCATCTTTGTCATTATATTCTTTACGGTATAGCTTATTCTATACTCTTTATCCTTCCTTGATTTAGTTTTGAATTTTAGTTTAGGTTTGAATTTTGCTCCTCTAATTTCCACCAAATGTATTGTTGGTAGCCGTTCTTTATGTTTCTTTTTGACTCTGAATGCTTCTTAGCACCTTTTGAGTGAAATCTCTCCTTGCCTGTTTCCATATGCTTTTTATTGTGTCGCCATCATTCCTTTAACACAATTGCTGCATATTTGCTAATGTATTATTAATGTTGCCTGATCATGAGATAGCTGAGAAGTCCCACTTTCCTCTCTTGTACATGCACAGAGGCATTTGGAGCCCTTACTAATGGCAGCAGCAGCACCATCCTGCTCCTGCTGCCATCCCTTTTTTTTGGCCAGGGTTGAAAAAATGTAAAAAAATTCAGAAGGCAGCTTTTTTTTTTTTTTCTTTTTTGCTTTTTTTTTTGTTCAGTACTAGAAAAACTGGATTTACACTTGTTTGGAAACTCAAAATGTAGTAATTCTGGGTTGGGATAGCTGTCCTTTGGCACAAGGGACTCAGTTAATGCAAACTTGGGATTTCTTAAAAACACTTTGAAATGCTGACAAACCTTGCAGCTATGTTAGATTTTGTGCACTGCTTATCTTAATCTATTTATTAAGCTTAAGTTTTTAAGTCACCTATTTTGCTTGTTTTATAGCCAGAGAGTTCTTCAAATATGCAAGCTGCAGAATTACCAGCAACTAGGGTGACTTTACCACCTGTACCATCCAGTGACTATGTTAGCCTACTGAATATGTATTCACAAAGGACCTTGCAACCAGTTTGTTACAGTAACAAAAACCGTACTGGAGATGCCCATGCTCCTGTGTAAGATGTACTTTGTCTTCGTACTTGCTTTTAATATTTCTTTGTATTGTATACCCATATGACACACTACCATTAGTTACCCTGAGTAGCAATAGATGAATCTCTAGACATGCAATAATAATTTGGAGGTAGTCTAGAGACAATCCAGTGGGAAGTGTGGTTATGGAGTTGGAGGGTGCAGTGTGGGAGGAGAGGCTAAGAGGGCTGAGTCTGTTTAGCTGGGAGAAGAGGTGGCATGATGATGAGATGGCAGTCAGTGTAGACAAATTGTCAGTTCTCTTGTTTGTAGCTCTGGCACCTTAGTGTATCTCTTGGCATATATTTTGGAGACCTGTAGGAACCAAGTGCCAAGGACAGCCTGTTTGTGTTTCCTTCCATGTGTATAGCAGTCAGTGAGTTGCAGAAACATTCCAGTTAATGACAGCTGAGGGATGATAAAGAGTATCTATGCATTTAACTCTTGAGAATATCTGCTGGAAAACTCCTCCTCTCTTT